CCACTCCCCTCCCAGAGCTGGGTAGAGAACCCAGGAGTCCTGGCTCCCAGCCCCTGCTCTAACCACTAGCCCCCCACTTACCTCCCAGAGCTGGGTAGAGAACCCAGGAGTCCTGGCTCTCAGCCCGCCCTCCTGCTCTAAGCACTAGCCCCCACTCCCCTGCCTAAGCTCCGCGGGTTCGCTGCTCAGAAAGGCGGCAGCCGCAGGACAAGAGGCAGCGCGGGAGAGGGGCCTGGAGACAGCTGTGGAGGAGGAGACCGTGCCGTCCGCCTCCCTGCACGGGCCCCTCGCTGAGCCCCCGCGGGACCCCAGGGTCCCGGAGCCGAATGGAGAAGGGACGACGGGGAACAAGGGCAGCTGTGGGGAACTGCGTGGCTGGCTCCCCGCCCAGGTGGAGGGGGTCCACCAGCCCCCCCGTGCCTCGCCACGGCCCCATGTCTAGCAGGGGCCACGAGCCGGCTCCAGCCGTGACTCCCAGCCCTCGGCGGCGCCAGCTCGGGCAGGCGGGCGCTGCCTTTCCACACCGAGGTGGCAGGTTCGATGCCTGCTGCCGCCCCCACATCCCCCCCCCCCGAACCCAGAGTGGTGGGCGGGGCCTCCAAGCAGGCAGGCGAGATGGGCATGGGAAGGGCGGGACCAAGGGGGTGGAGTCCTGGGACATTCCCATGATGCTTAGGGAAGAGCCAATGGCAGGAACCGGCGCTAACGTTCCCCAAGGTGGCTCTGTCCCCCTCTAGTGGCCGGACCCAGGCGGTGCCAGGGGTGAAGGGGGGCAGGGCGCTGGGGTACTCACCAACTGCTGGGACCCGCTGCGCTTCTTGGAGAGCTGGGGGGACCCGCCGTGCTCCCGCGACACCTGCTTCCGCACCTCGGCGGCCACCGTCCTGCAAGAGACACGGGTCAGGGGCCAGAGCACATGCAGAACAGAACCCAGGAGTCCTTCCTGTCCCCCAGGCCTCTGGTCTAACCACTAGGTCACACTCCCGCTCAGAACAGAACCCAGGAGTCCAGGCTCCCAGCCCCCCTCTGTGCCCGGCTGCAGATTAGCTCAGACACACGCAGCTGAGCCGGAGGAACGCACTCCCAGCCCCACGCCAGCAGCTGCTGCCCCCAGCCCCTCCCACCCCACCCCCCATCACAGCCTCAGCTGGGCCCCCGGCAGGCTCTGAGCTCCCCTCCACGGATCACCCCAAGGCCTGTGGGTGGCGCCGGCGAGCCTGGGGGAGCCTCCTTGCTGCACCGCAGCGTTTGGGTTTTAATTCCCCTTCTCTCAGTGATGCGCACTGAGGACGCCAGGGCTCTGCCACTGACTCCTTGTGTGACCTTGGGTAAGTCACTGTGCTGCCCCGGGCCTCAGTTTCCCCACCCGCAACATGCAGACAATGATCCTTCCATTTTTCTCTCACTGGGTTAGGGACTGTCCCTTGCTTGGTCTGTGCAGCTCCTGGCACGACGGGTCCCTGATCTCGGCCGGGGGCTGGGCAGCGCCCGACACGACGGGGCCCTGATCTCGGCCGGGGGCTGGGCAGCGCCCGGCATGATGGGGGCCCCCGATATCGGTGAGGGTTCTTACGCGCTACCGTAATACACCTACTACTAGTAAGGGAGCTGGCAGGAAACAGTGGGCTTGGGTTTAGTAGATTTGCCAGCTCTCTCCAAAGGTGGTCACCATCACCCCCATTTCAGAGATGGAGAAACTGAGGCACAGAGCGGGTAAGGGGCTTGCCCCAGGGCACCCAGTGGGCCTAGAACCCAGGAGTTCTGCGTCCCTGGCACAAGTGTTCTGGAAGCAGGGACCCTCTTCCGCACTGGCTTTAGCCCCCCGTCCCGGGAGTGGGGCCCCCGGATTCCTTCCAGCTCAGGGCTGTGCCTCCTAGAAGCCGACATGTGCCCCGGAGTCAGCCCAGCTGGGGTGAGGTCAGCCCTGGCCCCTGCTCAAGTTCCCGGGGGGGCACGCCATGATGAGCAGACGTCCCCCCCCTTGCAGACAGGCACTGCTGGGCACATGTGAAAGGAGACGGGCGGGCCCTGCCCGGCTCCCCGTGTTGCCAGGCGGCCCCGCACCCGGAGATCTCCCCGCGGCGACGCAGACACAGCTGCAAGTGGCACCTGCCTGCAGGGAGAGCAGGCGTGAGCCGGGCCAGGAAATCCCGGGGGGGCGGCAGTGGGGGGCGGGGGCTGCTGTCGTCTCTCAGCTCCCTACTTCAAACGACTTTATCTGCTTAACGTCACTTAACCCCTGCCAGGCCTGTACCAGAGCGAGGGGGAAAGGGGGGAGCCAGGACTCCTGAGTCTCTCCCGACTCTGGCAGGGGAGTGGGGTCTAGGGTTTAGAGCAGGGGGCTAGGGGTCAGGACTCCTGGGTTCTCTCCCGGCTCTGCGAGGGGAGCAGGGTCTAGGGGTTAGATTTCAACTTTTCAGTGGGAAAAGAAAATATCAGTCAAACCAGCAACTTTCAGCCCCAACCTTCCCCCTCTGAAATGGGGCCGTGGCCCCCTTGAGGTGGAGCTAAGAATGGAACCCAGGTGTCCGGGGCCCTGCCCAGCGCCTTCCCCGCACACCAGGCCTGAGTCAGCTCCGAAGGGCTCCGCACTGCTCCGACACCCGGAGGCCCCCGCCGAGGCGAGCGCAGAGCTCGCTGAGCGAGCGACAGGCTCTGGGGGGAGCTCCCTGCCCCGCCAGAGGGGAGAGGCCCCCGATGAGCCCAGCGTCTCCAGGCCAGCAGTTCAGAGCGGGTACAAGCGGTTCCCCGGGGGCCCAGTTCTCCCAGCAAACGGAACAGCACAGGCCAGCTGGCGCCAGCCGCCCGGGTTCCTCTCGTGCCCTCCACCCTCGCTCCGGCCGGGGACTCAGCCCAGGGCCCCAGCTGGGCACCCCTCTGGCTGGGGCTGGCAGTGCCAGGCGGTGTCACCCACGCGACTGCACGCTACCGCCAGCTTGGCAGCTGCCGGCCCGGCCTCCCCGGCTCAGCCCAGCTTCCCGGGGAGCCAGATGTTTTTCCAGCCGGCTCCTCGGCCAGGCTCCCACGCTCCAGCAGTGGGGCGGGTTCCGGGCGGGGGAGGGAGGAAGGAAGAGCAGTCGTTGGGGTGGCCGGCTAGTCCAGTGCCCCAAGCTAGCCCAGCAGGGACCCCAGCGTCCCGGGACTGCAGGGCACACAATCACGCTAGGGGCTTGCGGCTCAGAGCCCGGTGCAGACAAGGCCTGAGGGTCACAGCCCCCCACCCACCGCCCTGGGAAAGCCGACCGGACCCCGGGACAATAAAGCCAGCGACAAACCACCCGAGTTTTTAACCGCGGGAGTCCTGCAGGCAGGTGTGCCGGGCCCAGCGCCCCCGTCCCACGCCCAGGGGCCGCTAACGCCCGGGCCCAGTGGGGGGCTCGGCCCCTAAGGAAAGTGGCGCCCCCCAGCTGCAGGGGAGAGACAGCAATGACCAGAGCCGGGATTTGGTCAGGACTCCAGGGTCCCTCCCCATCGCTCCCGCGTGCCAGGGCCCCGGGATTACAGCACATGCAAAGGGTGGTACCCCCTAGCACCAAGCTGGGGCATTGGGCCCCAAAGGGAGAGAGAGCGCCCCCTCCAGCACAGGCGAGAAGCAGCAGCCTGGGGAACAAATATTTCCCGCCGGGCCGGAGTCTAGCAGCCAAAGACCAGCTGCTCCCCGGGGTCCCCTCGGGCCCTGGAGGCCATGAGGCCAGGCGAGTGGTCCGGCCACGGCCAGCCTTCCTGCCCCCTCCCCTCCTCCGGGCCAGGCCCAGCTGCCCCTACCAGGGGCAAAGGGCAGGGGAAGCGGGGCGGGGCCGTGACTGGGGAGGATGCAGAGGCCGTAAATAAGCTGCAATCGGCCCAGCCCTGCGGGGGGGAGGGGGATCCGTCCGGCTCCGAGGTGCTGGGATCCAGCCAGGAAGCCTGGCAGCGACGGCAGCGCAGGAAGATGCTTTGTGGGAGAATCCGGGCACTGGCTGCGGGGGAGGGGGAACCCGGCCGCCTGCAGCCCCACAACAACACCGGGCCCCCTTTAGCTGAAGGCCTCAGGCCCCAAGTAACTCAACGGGAGCTCGGCGCCTAGATCCCTGCCTTGGCTCTTATCCAGCATGGGCCAGGGGAGATCATTCACCCCCCCTTACAGACGGGGAAACCGAGGCAAAGAGGGACGCCTCGCCCAAGGTCACCAGGATCGGTTTGCCAGATTGTGAGCTCCTTTGGGTCACAGCTAGGGACTCCGTCCGCCCCACAGCCTGGGAGTGAGGGGCGAATGGGAGGAGCGTTCCTGGGACTAGCTCCGAGACAGGCTTCAGCCGCAGGCTGAACAATGGTTTATTGATGGGGACTGTGATAGCACCTTGGAGCCCTGCGATCGCTGTCCGGGGGGGGGGGAGGGGGGGAGGGCTCCCCTCCTGTGCCGGGTGCTGTCCTGGGCTGGGGGGGCTCCCCCGCTGTCCCTGCCGGAAGGGGCTCACAGTCTGACTAGACAAAGGGGTGGGGGGAGGAATTTTATGCCCATTTTTGCAGCTGGGGGAACCAAGGCCGAGAGAGTGGAGGGGAAGGATGGTGCAGTGGTTGGAGCGCTGGCCTGGGACCTGTGAGGCGCCCAGATGGCACAGGGATGGGGGCAGACAAGTACTTGAGACAGGTAAATGAAGAGACTTGCCCAAGGGAGTCTGGAGCCCGGGCAGGTCCCAGACCCGTCTCTTACCCCTCAAGCTAACCCCACGGGACGTGTCTGCCCGCTGCCCCCCCCTCGGAAACCAGGGGCACGCGCAGCCGCACGCCCTGCTGCCCGGCCCAGCCCAGCCCGCCGCGCACACATCCGCCACCGGGAGCCTGGCGAAGGAAAGAGGAAGCCGAAAGCAGCCACAGAGGCTGGGGAGGGAGAGCCCAGGGCACTGCTGAATTATTCACACACCTGTTCCCTGCTTGCTGCCAGCTCATGAGATGACCCCAAGGCCCCGGCATTGTCCATTTCTCACACACACACACACAGATCCTGCTCTTACTCCTTTGGTTATTGCCGGGCGCTGAGCTGTGTTGGGGGGGAGGGCGTTGGGGGGGAAAAGACGCGACACAAATCCAAGACTCCGGCCACAGAACAAAACCGACACAGTCCAACGTCCACGAACTGCTATTTAAATATGAATGGGGGCACGGGCAGACCCAGCGCCTCGCCTTCCACCTACGAGACACCGGCGCTTTGCCAGAGCATCAGCCCCACACTTTGCAAACTACACCCCCCCGCCCCCCAAGCAGGAAGGCAACAAAGCCCAGCGATTAAAAACTGCAGGGCCAGCTCTGATCCTCACGGGAAGAGCCAGGAAATGGGCCAGAATTTCCTTCCGCGGGATGAAACAATGCACCCAGAGTGGGGCCGGCTGAAGGCCGGGAGGGGAGGCGGCACCAGTGACCGTTGCCTAGGGCAGGTCTTGCCTGGACCCAGAGGGTGGTGGCGCGTTAGGCACACCCCGGTTAAGATCCTGGGGTATACAGGGCACTTATGTCACCGCGTTACCTGGCCCAAGTAAACTCTAGTGGGGAACCGAGGGCCGGTCCACGCTTCCCAGCGATCAGCTCAGGCTGTCCGCACCAGGTTCCTCGGAGGGGTCAGCCAGCGCCCGCTACAGGCACCCTCCCAAAGCAGCGTCTACACAAGGCTGCAGCTGTGCCAAGGTTTTGTGGCGGAGGCGAGCACCAGCGAACGCTGGGCTGGTAAAACCCACCTCACCCCAGGGCACCCTCCGGAAATACCCCGTGTCTCCCGTGCCACAGGCAGCCTGGTGTCTCGGGCGCCGACCCGGCCCCGGGCAGCTCTAGCATTTCACGACGGGACACGCCTGGCACAAGCACGTGCAAGAAGTCACCGATGCGCCTTACAAGGGGAGAGGGGGGATTCCTGGCTGCCCCCTCCCCCCGCCATCTTCTGGGGCTGGGGCTCCGCTCATTCCAGTTCTCAGCCCCATCGGCGCCCAATCCCACATCTTTGGAAAGAGGCGAGTGTGGGTGACTGGCAAAGGCAGGAGGGGTGGTCGGCTCACGCTTCCATCGGTGGAGAAGGAGAGGGGAGATGCCAGCTGGGACCCCACAGCACATGGGGTCCCTCCCACGGACCCACCCCACCAAGGCCGTGCTAGGAAGCTGTTCAGGATTCTATCCCCCTCCCGCAGTGCACACCCTGGGGACCCCCCCACACCCATTCAGCCTACGCCGAGCAGGAGGGGGCCCTGCTGGGAGGTGGAAGCAGGTTTTGGGGAGGACCAGGCTATTGGTTGTCAGGGGGGATGGGGACATGGCACCCCCAGTGCATAGGGAGCTGCAGAGCTCAGGGATGCCCCACAGGGGAGGGATTGGGGGGAGATCAGGGCTGGGAGTGGGGGCACCATGGGGTTAGAGGGGCTCATGGGAGGCAGAGAGAGATGCACGGGGATGGGTGGAGGTGCACAGACTGGGGTGCCCATGGAGTAGGTACAGGGTACCATAGGGGGCAATAGGGGGGTTCTGCTGGGGCTGTGGGTTGGGGACTGGGTACCCTGAGGCTGGGGGACTGGGTGCCCTGAGGGGGCAGTGAGTGCCTTGGGTGCCCTCAGTGGGTGGGTGCTGGGTACCCTTGGGGGTGCTGGGTGCCCTGGGTGCTGGACGCTGGGTGGGTGCCCTGGGCCATGAGGGCTGGGTGCCCCAGGGAGGCTAGCTGGGGCATGGGCACTGGGTGCCCTTGGGGGGGACTGGGTGCCGGGTGGGGGAGGTTGGGTGCTGGGCGCCCTCAGGGGGGGCTGTCTGGGGGGGGCACTCAGTGCCCAGGGTGATGGGTGCCTTGGGGGGTGCCCGGCACTGGGTGCCCTGGGTAGTGGGTGGGTGCTGGGTGCCCGGGGGGGCTAGCTGTGGGGGGGGTGGCCTGGGCAGGGGGGCGGGGGGGGCAGGGGGGGGGCGGGTGGGGGGCCCGGGGGGGGGCTCTGGGTCTCTCACCGGTTGATGCGCTGGGCGAAGGCCCGTCGCTCCGGGGCCGCCATGTGGCTCCGTCCCGCCGCCGCCGCCGGCTCCGCTCCGCGCTGGGCGCCCCGGGCCGGGCCGGGCTGGGCTGGGCAGGCGGGGCCGAGCCGGGGGCGGCACCTTCCGGGTCCGGCCGCCGGCACTGCGCCGCCCCCTGCCGGCCGGAGCCCTACAGGGGCAGCGTCCCCTATAGAGACCCTATAGCGAGACCCTTATAGACCCCCTATAGCCAGAGACCCGCTACAGAGACCCTTCCCCTCTACATATTAAGAGAGAGCCCTGTACAGACACCGCCCTTATACAAGAACAGCTATAGGCAGAATCCCCTATAGAAATGCACCCATAAAGACAGAGACACCCCATAAGGAACTCTGTAGAGAGACCACTTCCCCCATAGAGAGCCCTCAGAGACAGAGACCCTTCCACTACACAGAGACCCTTATAGGGCACCTATAGATGGACTTTTCCCCTCTAGGGAGACCCCCTATATAAACAGTGCCTTTATAAAAGACACCTATTCATAGAATCATAGAATCTCAGGGTTGGCAGGGACCTCAGGAGGTATCTAGTCCAACCCCCTGCTCAAAGCAGGACCAATCCCCAACTAAATCATCCCCGCCAGGGCTTTGTCAAGCCTGACCTTAAAAACCTCTAAGGAAGGAGATTCCACCACCTCCCTAGGTAACCCATTCCAGTGCTTCACCACCCTCCTAGTGAAAAAGTTTTTCCTAATATCCAACCTAAACCTCCCCAACTGCAACTTGAGACCATTGCTCCTTGTTCTGTCATCTGCCACCACTGAGAACAGTCTAGATCCATCCTCTTTGGAACCCCCTTTCACGTAGTTGAAAGCAGCTATCAAATCCCCCCTCAGTCTTCTCTTCTGCAGACTATTAACAGCATCATCCCCTATAGAAATACATCTGTAAAGGCAGAGAGACCATTTCCCCTAGAGAAATCCCATAAAGATGCAGACTCCCCCCTTTCCCCTATAGAAATAACTCTGACCCTATAGGGAGTCCTCCCCCCATACTTTAAGGCGATCCGACTCCTCGCCCGCCTGTGCAAGGAGTGAGGCTGGGTGTTGTTTATTCTGTGGGGCTGGTGGGTCGGCCTGTTATTAGTTGTGCTGTATTATAGGCCAGGGTCCTGTAGTACCAGGCGCTGCCCAGACCCGGACCGAGATCACGGCCCCATTGTGCAGTGTGCTGCCCAGACAGACATTGAGAGACAGTCCCTGCCCCAATTAGCTCACAGTCTAAAGAGACAAAGGGCGGGAGGGGAAACTGAGGCACATAGAAGGCAGGGGATTTTCCCAAGGTCACCCAGCATCTCAAATACTGCCTGCAGCTCTGGTCACCCCAGCTCAAACAAGATATATTAGAACCGAGAAAAGTACCGTGAAGGGCAACACAGATGATGAGGGGGACGGAACAGGTGCTGTGTGAGGAGATTACAAAGACTGGGACTGTTCAGCTTGGAACAGAGATGACTAAGGGGGGATCTGAGAGAGGTCTGTAAAATCATGACTGGGGTGGAGAAAGTGACTAAGGAAGTGTTATTTACCTCGTCACATAACACAAGAACCAGAGGTCACCCAATGAAATTAATAATCAGCAGGTTTAAAACAAACAAAAGGAAGTATTTCTTCACACAACGCACAGTCAACCTGTGGAACTCCTTGCCAGGGGATGTTGTGAAGGCCAAAAGTATAACTGGGTTCAGAAAAGAACCAGATAAGTTCATAGAGGGTAGGTCCATCAATGGCTGTTAGCCGGGATGGTCAGGGACACAACCCCATGCTCTGGGTGTCCCTAAACCTCTGACTGCCAGAAGCTGGGACTGGACGACAGGGGATGGATCAGTCAATAATTGCCCTGGTTTATTCATTCTCTCTGAAGCATCTGGCACTGGCCGCTCTCAGAGGCAGGATCCTGGGCTAGGCGGACTATTGATCTGAGCCAGTACTGATGTCCAGAGCAGTTGCCTCCCAAGGCCTAGTCCAGCCCTATCCACCAGGCCCCGCTGCCCCTTTCCTGATCGGTAATGCGCTTCCGGGCTCATGTCTCTGGATGCCAGGCTGGGGCTGCCTTGTATGCAGGCTGGGAGACGAGTGAGCCGGGCCGTGAATGCCAAGGTGGTAAGGACAGGTAGGTGAAGACGGCCTGGACTAGAAACACAGGAGAGGCCAGAGTTACACATCAGATGAGAGTGAATTGGGATTTTCACGCTCTATACATTAAATTAATGGAGATCTCCTATCTCCTAGAACTAGAAGGGACCTTGAAAGGTCATTGAGTCCAGCCCCCTGCCTTCACTAGCAGGACCAAGTACTGATTTTGCCCCATATCCCTAAGTGGCCCCCTCAAGGATTGAACTCACAACGCTGGGTTTAGCAGGCCAATGCTCAAACCACTGAGCTATCCCTCCCCCTTATAGATAGGATAAGATTCAATTGGAAACAAGAGCGGGCAGATCTATAGATCAGATGGGATCAAATTAACTTGCCTTGGATTCGATTACAATAGAACGAACATTTGCACTGAGCAGATTGAATTAGCTACAGACAGGGTTAGTTACAATGACTCGGACTGGGGGGGGCCCATCTAGCCCGGTAGCCCGTCTCCAACAGTGCCAGCTGCTTCAGACACAGGACCACAGAGCCCTGCAGAGGCAGTGGCAGGAGACGTTCCTTCGGGACCCCGGGCAGCTCCGGGCGGGCGGATTCTCCAGCCAAACCAAAAGCTCTTTTCAAACTCTGTTTTCTCAATCCTGAAATTCTTTCTATTAACACGGGGACAGATTCTGAGCTGGTGTCAATCGCCCGAGCCCCACGGATTGATACCAGCTGAGGATCTGGCCCAAGAAATCTGACCCACAGCGCTGAACGGGGACCCTCATTCTCTTGACGGTAGGATATTGGCAGCTGAAGCCAGACACAATCCAACTGGAAATAAGACACAAATCTTTCCTGGGGGGTGAGTAAGCACGGGGGGGGGGGGCGGCGGGGGGAACTCCCCAGAGAAGTGATGGATTCTCCAACTCCTCGTGGCGTCCCATCCAGCCTCGCTGCCCGCCTGGAAGATGCTTTAGCCGAACACGGGGCACCTGGGTGAAACGGAACCGTCTGGGCTGTACAGGAACTCTGGCTAGACGCAGGTGGGCCAGGCAGCCGGTGGGCCCCGGCCCGGGCTGGCCCCTGGGAATGGAGATGGCGGTTGGGTTGCCAGGCACGGAGGGGGCCTGTAACCGAGACACGACAAGGGGCAAACGGGGCGGTGATGGCGCCAGGATAACGCTCAGCGGTGCTCTGGGGTACAGCGAGGCACCCTGCCGCTGACCTCCCTTTCCAGGCCCGGCAGGAAGATGGAGAAACATCCCCCTCTAGTGATGCTTTGCAGAACAGCCGCATGAACCGCAGGGGTGTGTTGGCCAAGCTCGGGGTGAGATTTTCCCCTGCTCCAGCCAGCAGCGGCCCCACGTCCCCTGGCAGTAGCTGACAGCTGCGGAGCCATCTGCCCTGATTCAGGTCAATGTTCACAGGCATCCCGGAGCGGTGTCAGCTGCACAATCAGAGCAGGGGCCCGTCTCTGAGAGGGGCCAGGACCAACTGCTCCGAGACACCCTGCTGCAGAAGGCAGAGGTGGGACATCCTGCCAGCGGGGACAGCTCCTTCCTGACCGCTCCCCACCAAAGGTCTGCTCAGGCCCTGAAGCATGAGGCTTTATAACCCTTCCTAACTCACTCTGGCTTCGAATGTTCTCGTTAAACCAAGAGCCCAGTGGATGTAAGAGAACTCAGGACAGGGCAGCAACAACATTACGGCCGGGTCTGGTTGTGTTCTGGGGGCCTGATCCCCTCCTGGGGTAAATCAGCCTCAAGCCAATTCAGTCAATAGAGCTGCTCTGATTCACAGTGGGCCAGGATCCGGCCCCAGACACTACAGTGATGCATATTAGATAGATAGAAAGATAGATGGGGTGTGTGGGGATAGATAGATAGATAGATAGATAGATAGATAGATAGGGGTGTATGGGGATAGATAGATAGATAGATAGATAGATAGATGGGGTGAATGGGGATAGATAGATAGATAGATGGGGTGTATGGGGATAGATAGATAGAGAGGGTGGATGGGGATAGATAGATAGAGGGGGTGGATGGGGATAGATAGATAGATAGATCAAGGGGTGTTTGGGGATAGATAGACAGACAGACAGACAGACCGAGGGGGTGAATGGGGATAGATAGACAGGCAGACAGACAGACCGAGGGG